CACTCCCCTCTCAGAGCCGGGGAGAGGACCCAGGAGTCCTGATTTCCAGTCCCTGTTCTATTAGCCCAGACTCATTTTCTGGATGGCTGCCATGCTTCAGGAGGCGCGCGGGGAGGTGAGCATTAGTAAAATGACCATGAAGAAGCTGTACATATTCCAACAGTTTTACCTGTTCCAGTGGAAAGCCGAGAATCCCCTCTTACATTCCTGCCCGTTTCTCACCAGGCCAGCTCTGGTTACACACTCAGCTCCCACTGGAAGGGGACAGTCTTGAATGAAAAGCAAACAACCTTAATTGCTTACAACTGACCCTTGACTCAGTTTGGGGCAGACACTGCATCTGGCAAAGGAGAGCCTCTTCCCCACACAAACAGCCCCGTAGCCTGAAATTCGCCTCTCCGCAAGATCGCACTTCACCTCCTTCCCCCCTTGCAACTCCAGCCTGCAAACCCGAAGGCTGAATAATTATCCAGAGAGCGGTGTTTTTACCACGCTGCAAACACTGAAAAACGAGCGTTTTGCTCAAAAGCGCCCCACTGAAGTCATTGCCTTCAGAGCGGACAGATGGACATAGTTAATACTGGAGGCAGTGCAGTCCACTGGTGGCAACGCTGGACCAGCATTCAGAGAACCTTGCTCCTGTTCCCAGAGCTGCCACTGACCTGCTGAAACCTCAGCTGAGAAGTTATTTCCCCGCTCTTGCGCCCTGGGTCCATCTTGTCTTAGCCTGTCAGCTGTCTGAGGCAGGGTCTGTCCAGCACAATGGAGCTCTGACCTCAGCTCTAACCAAATCCAAGTGCCGACACAAGTGATAGCGTTAAAACATTTCGAGAGTGGAAAATCCAAGCAGGCGAGTTCCAGGAAGCTAAGATTAAAAGCTCAGTATTAACTTAACCCCCTTCATATTTTAAGGCCTATGGAAATCTGCTTTTCTGTATTTTTCAATGCCAACACAAGCTGGGATTTCTAACACAACCTTAGGTACAACGCAGAGCAAGACTGCACCTGCTGCCCAAAGCACACACATAAGATGGGAACAACCAGAACATCAACTGCCCACTCGCCAATTTTAACTTGCCTGTAAGCAAGCAGACAAGTGTGTTTTCCAAGCCCCGAACGGGATTCTGAGTTATTTTTAGTATATTGCCTCGTTTATTACACAGCTTTCCCATATTGACAGCAAACCATATTTGCTATCGAGGGATTCTGATGACAAGAAAGAAGCCACAAGAGTGAAGAGCAAGTGGTTTTCAGCCCTGTCACTGGCATGCAGAGATAAAAATACAGTCTTACAACTTGCACAGTTTGGATGTATTTTTAAGTGTTTATGGTTTTCAAGTGGCAATGAAAAACAGAAGCCAAACATTAGTTTCAAAGATTTGCATCTCTACCACGTCCTACATCCTGTCCTGTGGATAAAACGGCAAGGAGCAGATGCTTTCAAAGAAGTTTTAGTGACATTCTCTTAGCGTTTCGGAGTCTAAGTTACACGGGGATTCTCCACGAGGAGAAGACACCGTGTCCGTAAAGCACAAAGGGTGAAAGCGCTGGGACAGCTTCGTACCACACATTCCTAACAGGATAGGCCCTTCCCCAGGGCCCCCACGCTTTGTAGCAGCCGGTGAGATTTCAAAGGAGATCTGGGGAGGCAGGTGCCTGAGCGTGTCTGGGACTGGGGGACACTCTAGCCCCGAGCTAGCAGGACATCCAGCAGCACAAGAGAAAGTGGCGTCTGGGCGCTGGAGAAGGGGGACGGCGCAGGGGAGCGGGGGCCGACGCAGAGCCCTGAGGGGCCCTGGAGAACAGAATCACATACCAGAGCCCCCTCCCCTAAACCCTCCCCTGGACAGAGAAACCCCAAGTTCCCTGCTGAGCCTTCCAGGGAGACACCCCAGACCGGCCCCCACTTCAGGGAGAGACCCCAGCCCGGCCCCCCCACAGCCCGGGGGACAGACCCGCCAGCCCGGCCCCCCCACAGCCCGGGGGACAGACCCCCCCAGGCCCGGCCCCCCCCCGCACGCCGGGGGACAGACCCCCCCAGGCCCGGCCCCCACTCCAGGGAGACCCCCAGGCCCGCAGCACCCCCTGGGGGACCCCCCGCACCACGGGGTTCGGTGCCCCGAGGGGTCTGGCCGGTTCCATCGGGAGAGGGGGAACGGGGTGCGCGGGGGGGGCAGGGGGGGTGTCCCGCCGATACCATCCCAGGGCGGGCAGGGAGATCCCGGCTAGGACCATGGCGGGGCGGGGGGATCTGGGAAGTACCAT